CAATACAGAAGACGTTGACGATTTTACTTGTGATTCTGTCTAGATGGCGAGCAGGCTTCTAATGGTACCAGAGTCATCAAAGGTCCAGTAACCCTGAAGCATCCTCAGTTCCACTGGAAGAAGTGGGGATTGCTGATCAAAAAGCAATAACAAATAAAATATTGAACTGTAGACAAGCATACAGGCTCCTCTGATTGAAAAGAAAACTACTGTAAATTCCTATTGAGGCTGTGCGGCTACCTTTGCTTCCTCAGCTGTCCTCATTAGGAATTATAGCCTCCAGCTCAGATTTTCATTCCTCGGGCTGATACAGGGAGGTCCCTTCCATGAAGCTGATGGCCTTCCCATGTGACAGTGGGTGACACTGCCACTCTCTAAGTAACAAAAGCCCTGAGAAATTACCAATAATAGGGACTTTGGTTTACATAAATCAGCTGCTCACCTCAGAATGGTGACCGTTATTATGTTTCCTAAGCCGCTGCTGGGAAATATCCCCCTTGTGGGACTGCATTAGGAGCTGGTAAAACTCAGCCAATAGCCTCATGATAAAGGAGTCGCCACTTAAGATTGAGATGACAAGAAATTTCTTCAGAGGATTGTGAAGCTTTGGAAAATCTATACTGCATAGTGTTGTTAGTGCTCAGTCATTGAGTATATTTTAGTCAGATTTTCTGGTACTAAAAATCTTTGGACAGCAAAGTGGAGTTAATTTGGAAGATTTAATCAGTTGATGGAGCTGGCTTTAGGGGCTGTATACCCTAATGCTACTGCAGTTTCTCTTGCTGCTGGTAATACTGCCTTTTGGACAAACTGCGTGCCCCCAGAAGGAAGGGTTTGAAGTACTCTGTGTAGCCACCAGTGATATCTGTATGACTGGTATTAAGGCTCATGCTAAGCATTCCTTTTAATTGCAACTATAGGTTCAAAAACTTGTTATGCAGCATAAAAATGTCAAATGTTTGAGCTTTCCACACATGAGCATGCACATCCCTCCTGATAATTTGCTTTGATGATGCTGAGTAAACATTTATTATTGAATGTGTGGAATTGCTTGTATTTTTTCAAATGGACATTCATTGTCTTTTGGATTTTTGAGTGGGGGAATGCCTAAAGCTCGGTTTAAAAATTATATTTGCAAAATCAATATTAAAAAGCTAGACTTTCATCCAGAAATTAAAGTATGTGCTGCTCAAGAGTTGAGACAGTATTGATCACAGCGGAAGTGTATTGCTATAAAATTTCGATTGCAGGCTTTGTCCTGTGAGTATAATAAAATCAGTATATGCAAAGTGCTTTTATCACTCGGTGCAATTTCCTTGATGGTCTTGTTTTGTATTCTGTGAATGCAAATATTAAGGTCGATGCTCAAGAAACATAAAGCATAAGCCCTCATTCTTAAAGAGCTTCTAAATGTTCTTTTGAAAAGGCTCTTGTGGTTTTCACACTACAAGATTAAATAAATTCTCACATAATCCGAAGAGTCCAGAGTGAATTTTACGCCTAAAGTATATGTTAACAAAATATAACTTTTATAAAATACAAATCACTAATGGTTATATTCACTCGTGCTGCTTTAGAGGCAGGAATATTGCACCATCTAAAGCACAATATATTATTCTACTGCGCACATGTAGAGTGTGTCCCTTTTAAGATTCTAAAGTTTGTGGCAAAAAAAACTAGTTGATATTGTCCAAGGAATAATGTGAATTGAGAGCATAAACTCTAGGTTTGTTGTGGTACGGTTAATTGAGGAGCTGCATTTGGCTTGAATCTAATTTTTTCATTTGTTTTGTAAAATGCTAGTCCTACCTTCTTTCTTAATACTTTGAGTATAGTACAGAAATTCACCTAAATAATTTATATATTTGAAGTGTGATGGACAAGAGTATGAAGCTAGGGAAATTTTTTTTCATCTATTAGATCGAATGCTGTTCAAATATTTGTGGAGATTTGGCTTCAGAATTTTTTTGTGAACTATTTTAAAGGGTACACTTACCTGTTCAAAATAAATACAGACTTTATTTTCAAAAAGCAACTTTGTTTGTATGTACTCCACTTGTAAGCTAATACTCGTATGATCTAATTTGAAGGCCATTGCTTACTCATACAAGAAATGTGTGATACAACTATTATAAACTTGGAGGAAATTGGTTCATTCAACTAATCAGTTATGTTTTTATTGTTCAAGTTATTGAGGTCATATTTGACAAAGAAATGAAGATAAACCAGGATTTTACCTTAGAAATACGATTTGATCATGTTAAAAATTCAAAATTGGCAGTGAAGCCCAAAAAATTCTTCCACTTTGTTAGCTCATAACTTATTGAAATGATGTCATTGAGTCATACAGCATGGAAACAGACCCTTTGGTCCAACTCATTCAAGGCAATCAAGTTTCCCAAACTGAACTGGACCCACTTGCCTGCATTTAGCCCATAACCCTCTAAAACTTTCCTATTCATATACCTGTCCAAATGTCTTTTAAATGTTCTAACTGTATCTGCATATTCCACTTTCTCTGGCAGCTCATTGCCCACATGAATCACCCACGGGGTGAAAAAGTTGCTGTTTAGGTTTCTTTAAAATCTTTCCCGTCTCACCTTAAAAATATGCCCATAGTTTTAAACTCGCCCACCCTAGGGAAAACACTTTTGCTATTCACCTTATCTATGCCCTTTGTGATTTTATAAACTTCGATAAGGTCACCCTTCAACCTCCTACACTCTAGTGAAAGGAGCCCCAGCCTATCTATCCTCTCATTTATAACGCAAATCCTCCAGTCCCAGTGACATTCTGGTAAATCTTTTCTGAACCCTAACCAACTTAATAATATCCTCCCTATAGTAGTGCAGCTAGAACTATACATAGGATTCCAGAAGTGGCGTCACCAACATTCTGTACACCCTCAATATGATGACCTGACTCCTATTTTCAGTGGTCTGAGCAATGAAGGCAATCATGCTAAATGCCTTCTTAACCACCCTGGCTCCCTGGGATGCAACTTTAAAAGAATTATGTGTGTGAACCCCAAGGTCTGTCTGTTTGACAATACTATCCAGGACCTATCCTTAAATGTACAAGTCCTGCCTTTATGCACTTTACCAAAATGTAATACCTCACATTTATCCAAATTGAATCCATCAGCTACTCCTCAGCCGGTTGGCATGTTTGTAATTTCTAATTTGTCTCAGGCATGAAACTCCTACATTTTCCGATATGCCATTACCCATAAATGCAAAACAATCCAGTGTCAATAAGTTGAGTGGAAACAGCTTTGAAACCCTTAATCTATTTAAGCTTTATCCATATTTTAATGTGCAACCCACTCCCAAAAATCTGAAGGTGAATCTCTGTTGCTGGAGTATGATTTCATGGGTATCATTCATCCAACAACTCAGTCGTAGTGTTTTTATGTTGCCCATGAGATTTATTTATCTCTAGCAAGGTCAGCAATTATTTCCCATTCCTCATTGCTCTGGAGAGGATGGTGAGCTCCCTTCTTGAACTTGTATAGTCCTCAGGTTGTAAGAATACCCACAGTTTTCTTATGAAGGGAGTTCTAAGATATTTATCCAGTGACAGTGAAGGATTGAGGATTTTGCAACCGTTGACTGACTTTAGTATTTCAGAACAGAATGTTTGTGGGAGCAAATTTGGTTGAGATGGAAACACCAAAGTTTATGGCCATGCAACCTGCAGCTTTCACTTCTCAGTTAACTGGATAGAGGTTGAGATGGGATGTGAGAAGGAAATAAGACAGGAACATACCACTATCTAAACGGTCTCACTGGCACTGAATGCAATGGTTTCTGACAGCAAGCGTAAGTGTTCAGGCAGACGTGTTTAGGCAGACGTGTTTCCCCTCTCGTTTTCCTCTACTCGTTGTTATGATCAGCAGAGAGAAGCATATTAAAGCAAGTTAGAGGTTTGGGTGATCTACTTGCCACAACTAAGTAAGGGAAGATAGTGGAAGCATTGAGACTGGCATCAGTGGGTGTGGGAAAGCATCTTAATGTAAAGGCTGAATCCTGACTGCTAGGGACTAAAGACTGATGAGTGATGGGGGTGTGGGGCATTCAGAAGCGTGTGAGGACGATGGGTGGGAGATGGCACCTGGAGAGGCATTTACTGACATTGACCACTAGTAGAGGTCATTTAACCTCTTGCACACTGGGAATTAGTGACCATAGTTTCCTGTGCTTTTCTGAAGGTGCTTGTTGAGAACCCTATCTTGGATCCTGTGGAGAAATGGCCTCTCACCTCCTGGCAGTCTCATGGAGTTAAACTTTCAGTGCCAGGTCTGAATACCTGGGAACCCCCTCTCTTCCCTGTTGCTTTTCTAACGTGTTTCCCCTTACAGCTAATTTCTGTACTGAGATCAGCAACGGCTTTCTTTATAATCAGTGGCAACAGTGTCTGTTATCTGCAAGGTACACTGCATAACTCACCTATGCTCCTTCAACAGCACTTTTCCAAGCCCACAACCTCTACCACCTAGAAGAACAACAATGGATTATTTAATGGAAGCTGGTACACTTTTTTGTTAAAACCAAAGTGTTTGAAAAGCTTGATTGTTTTCTGACTAGGTAAAAAGTGGGTTGATGAGGTTAATGTAGTTGATTGTGGTGTACATCGGCTTTACAAAAATCTTTTATCACTTTGTACAACAAATCAACGTGTAGAAAGAAAGATATGGGGTCCAGACCAGTACTTTGTAATAGCTCATTACTACATTTTATGAAATAATATACAAGATCATGAACTGGAAGTTGTTGGGAGATAATAAACTGCAAATCATGATTTAAAGGTTCTCCTTTGGTACCGGTTTCTTAATTCCTCTAAATCTGAGATACTGAAAGGTAGCATTCAGTCTCGGATTCAATGTTCAAAGCTGGTATTTGAAAACAAAATTAGGCTTGAATTTTCAAGCCAACTGTAATGTCTGTTTTTTTTACTTCCAGTGTAAGGAATTCATTCATCTTTTGTCTTTCAATCTGCAGTATCCTTTTGGGAATGATCCCATCCGTTCACTCCTACATCCACTTGAAAAAGAATTGCAGAAAACTACAAATACATATTGTGGAAGGATCTACCAGGTCTTTACACGGCAGCTGCTGAAAAGTCTAAGAACTTTACAAGACAAAATTTCAAGAACATGATTTTGATAAATGACTAAAGGCTTTATTTTCTCCCAGTGTTTCTTTTACGGCAGGGACCTGAGTTTTCACAAGACCTAAATAAATGACTGGAGGGTCTTAAAATTTTGAAGTGAGATAAGTGAAAGAGTTCACAATAAGTACTGTCTATATTGAAACCTCAAGAATGACTTATGAATGTAATCATCATCTCATACTTGAGCACTAATTAACCTAAATTGAAGAATTTATTTAGTGGAAGACATTGTTTACAGAGAAAGGGATGTTATTCCATCATGTGAAGATTTACTAGAATTGTCGACAATCTGCATGATGTGCTTTTCATTATGAAGTTATGGCAATTAATCTCTTGTTATGTATTGCAAAGTAAAGGCCGAAGTGTTTTATACGTTTATGACAATCAGGTCTTGAAGAGTGCACTGCATTAGGTGCTTTTTGCCTCCAGTGTAAGGATCAGTTAAGGTCACATTTTGGCAACATAATAAAATGCAAAATTAGTGTTCTGAATAGATTGCTTGTCTGACGATTGGTAGAAACTGAGCAAGTTAACTTCAATTGCAATATTTCCAGCTATAAATATATATTAGTCAACATGCCATTTGCAGATACATTATACTTCATTCAAAAAGCACACAATTTATGGACAGTCAGTCAATGTGGCATTTTGTAAATTCCTACTTTAGAAATAAAACCAGTCTGACTCCAAACCAAAACACAAACAGATTCTAGACAAGGCCTCACACCTAATATGCATTGTCTGACCTAAAATGTCACCTCTTCTTTACTCTGACAAAACTTTTAGTCCTCACCCAGGACAGTGACTTGAAAGGAATTTGGGGATTTACACATACATGTTAATCAATTAAAACCGTCTAACTGATTAAAGATTTAATAGCATCTTAGGTTGGTTTAATACATCCTCATCAGTGGTGAGACCCTTTGATTTTTTACGTATAAATTCTGTGTCACTACCACCTCTCTCTCACTAACACCTCAAGAAGGAGCAAAGCTCCAAAAGCTTGTATTTTCAAATAAACATGTTGGACTATAATCTGGTGTTGTGTGATTTCTGACCTTGTCCACCCCAGTCCAACACCAGCACCTCCACATCATTTATTCTTTCATTAACCCTTTTTCAGATTTGCATAACTAGAATCAAATTACTTTATGCATTGGTGAATCTAAGTTTGGACAGTTTACATAGATGAACTTGCACATGAAATGTAAAGATGCAAAACTCAGTAAATAACTTCCTATCTAATTTACTGCAAGTCAGTTGAGATTAATTTTGTAGCTGATATGACAGGAAAAGAAACCACCGTGAATGCACCTCCTAACTAGCCACTTGACAGTTAACTAATGGACGTGACAGAGTTTAGCAGGAACCACCAGCCCAATATTGTTTGAAATCTTTCTGGGAATTCTCAGTTTTTGTAAACTAAATATTCTGACTAATAGCATAAAGTTGGAATAAAAGTAGTTTAGAATTGTGAATAAATACTTAAGATTTATATTGTTTGCCTCACATAGTAATATCAGATTCATGTACTACTGTTGAAATGCAGTGACTTCGTAGGTAAGGCGGCAACAGTTCTGCATGAGCAATTTACTTAAATTTCAGTGGGAATTCCAGAAGTAATTCATTTTTACTATTGTAGGCATAACATGAGTGATAATGTGAAAACAACTAGATTTGTTGAATACTGTGCTATGTTGAATCTTGCCATGATCTCTTTACAGAGATTCAACCATTAATTGTATTAATTATTTCTTCCCTTTTACCTTCCCCTAAACTGAATGAATGTGTATACACTTATTGGAAACCTGCTTTTGTCACTATATTGTAGTGTTTATTGCCCAGGTAGATATTACCAATGTTAGAACTGTGGGCTTGGAAATTGCAACAATTATAGGACTCTAACTCTGAATTCAACTTCATTTGAATTAGCTGAGTTGAGTTGCAACAGAACAGAATATTGTTTACATCTGGCTTCTTACTCTGGAATTCAGCTAACTTTAGTGTTTTTTGTATTTAGAAATACTTGTTTGACTTTATTGCTAATGTTGTAGTCTTCACGTATGTTGCTAACTGGAAATGTGCTAAACTTTACCAGAGTAAAGAAACCTTGTGCTAATATTGCCTGACGTGGCAGTCTGTTGAAAGCAACTTTGGAGAGCGTTTGAATTATATGAAGTGCCTTGCTAATCACAGAAGTTGAACATAAGCTGTTAAATGCACTTCTTGAAAACAAAATAAGTTGGATAAATGCTTTTCAGTTTCTTTCTTAATACTTGGATATTTGCCTCATATTTGGTGGTAAATTAAGAATTTAACCACTATTCCGTTAGTGTTTATAATTTCACTGCTTTCAGATTGAAATCTCTGGTGTAAACAAGCTATTTGTAAACAGATTTTTACATCTAGAATCTTTTTAATAATAGATTATATATGTGAAAACAATTGTAATGTTAAACATTAATATGCAATTTTATGTGCTTTTTTTATTCCAATAAAGTTGAATATGAAATCTAAAGTGAACTATTATTGCTCTGAGAATAAGTTGTGTTCATACGTTGCTATTTTGCCTTTATTGGAGGATGAAATAACAGATCACAATGCAGTGCAAATCACACCCATTTTTTGTCTTCAGTGGTGTTTTGTCACTCTTTCCACCACCAGCACACAGCAATATGAAAGAGTTGAGACTTGCACATTTTGGGATCTAGGACCCAAAGGTCTGTCCCCCAAGAGTGGACAAGTTAGACTCAGTCCTTCGAAGATTAGATGCAGGCACTGAAGTGTTCCTTTGATATTGAGCACTGCTTTCCTGGAATCTGACCAGCAGTGTGAAAATAGCTATAATGAGCAGCACTAGTAATTCCTGGAAGAAACTTGGGAAGAATCCTGTTGTTGATCATCTCCAAAATATTGCTTACATTTTAGAACTGCAATGTGTGGCAAAACTTTCAGAATTTTACAGTATTAGATCTGTATAAAAGTGTTGTAACAGTGACCTTAAGTAATACTGATTAGTAGCTGAATATTTTAAGTGAAACTCTAGAAAAAGACAGCCAAGTACAGTATACAGATAACATGGAAAATGGTTAGTTAAACTTTAACTAAAGATGGAAAATATGTGATCACTCCCCAACATTTTCAGAGAAGAAACTGAGTATCACAGATGAAGACGAAAAGTTGTCAACATTACAGCAGCCAGCCAGCATGCTTGAAAGAAGTGCTTGAATATCTTGAACCAATAGTAATGGGACAAATGTACAGTTATTTTAATAAGTATGATCATTTGACTTGCATTTGAGAGTTGATCATATGCAACTGTTTAAAATAGTAAAAGACATTATTATGGTAATAACTCCTCCCTCTGCTCAACAAATCAAGAACAATGGGATGTAATAAAATTGTAGCTGCTCTAATTGATAACGTGTTTAGGGGAAAACCTTCAACTTTAGGCATGACATGGGAACTCTTCATCTTTCAAATTATTTGGGATGTTTTGCATCCATTTGAGCAGCTAGAAGGGCCTTGGTTTAACTTCTCATTTAATCAACACACCTCTGAATGTGACACAGTCTAAGGAATCATGCTAGATTGTGTATAAGTTACTAAAATGGCTCTGGGATCTACAAGCTCTCTGATATGACAATACTTTGCATTTAATTGGCACTAACCATTGTAAAATCTCTCATGCTTTGCAGGAAAAACAATTATAATACAAAATGAGACTTGTGGGCAGGGAGAGAGATGATGGGAGAGCTTATCCCCTTTTCCACGGATTTTTGTTGTCTGCAACAAGATATGTTTTAAAGAGATAAGTGTGGAGCTGGAGGAGCACAGCAGGCCAGGCAGCAAAGGAGCAGGAAAGTTGACGTTTTGGGTCAGCACCGTTCCTCGGGAATAGGGAAGGGGGAAGGGAGCTCTGAAATAAGTAGAGGAGGGGTGGGGCTGGGGAAGGTAGGTGGGATAGTGAAAGGTGAGTGCAGGTAGGCAGTGGTAAGGATTGGTCAGTGAGGTGGGAAGAGCGGATAGGTGAGAGAGAAGATGGACAGGTTGTGTCCGGTCAAGGAGGCGGGGATGAGGCCAGGGGTGGGGAGATTTTGAAACTGGCAAAGTCCACAATGAGACCACTTGGGTTGTAGGCTCCCAAGGCGGAATATAAGGCGCTGCTCCTCCAGTTTCTGGTGGTATCTTTGTGACACTGGAGGAGGCCCAGGATGGACATGTTGTCTAGGGAGTGGGAGAGGGAGTTGAAATGGTTCGCGACCGGAAGGTGTTGTCATTTGTCGCAAACAGAGCATAGGCGCTCTACAAAACGGTCTCTGAGCCTCCGCTTGGTCTCTCCACATCGGGAGCAGCGGATGCAGTAGACCACGTTGGCGGATGTGCAGGTGAACCTCTGTCTGAGGTGAGAGGTTTTTTTGGTTCCTTGGATGGAGGTGTAGGGGCAGGTGTAGCACTTCCTAAAGAGAGTGATTTGACTTGTTCAAACGTTGTGACTTGCAATAATAAAGCCAAAGCAGGTTTTCAGAAGCTTAAAATAGAAGGTGTTACTTCATACAACACCCTGAAGTGGAGCATAGATACAAATAAAGATGAATTTTAGAGACGAAGCAAACATTTACATTATTTTCAGAATTACAAGTTATAGGTCATGTGTCCAACTTTTGATCCTTTTAAGATGTAAACGTTGTAGACCTGAATGAGTGTTTTCTTGTGGATCTTTGAGCAAAAAGAAGGTTAAGGTTTCTGGATGTTCAGGTGAAATTATGGGAAAGTTCTTATAGTTCTTCATTGGTGAAGACAAATCAGCATCTTGCATTCTCTCTCTCTTCCCTGCACTCAACCTCCAAGTTAATTGGATGGTCAGGCAGTAATATGCTCTCCTTGACAAATGGATGAACCCCTTTGTCCTCTTGATTGCCAGGCTGACTTGGCTTCCCTTGTTGACTATTAAGAGCTCAGCTACCTGCCAGCTACTCTTATTTATGTGATGGCAAGCTTTAGCGCATGCCATTGTCCATAAAATGGTTTAGAGCTGGGGTGGTGGTCAATATGCCAGTTATGATTATCTTGCTGAAAAATGTCCGGCAGCCATTGTCTTAAATCTTTTCCTTTGTGTTGTGAGAATAATGATTACCTGAAAAACCTATTTGCATTTTTAAGCAGCCTTCCTGATACGTTGCGGCCCTGCTCAGAAACCAGGAACAAAATTCTTCTAACATTTTGGGAACCACTTTGAGAGTCATTGAGTGAGACAGCACGTAAACAGACCTTGCGGTCTAACTCATCCATGCTGACCAAGGTTCCCAAACCAAACTAACCACATTTGCCTTCATTTGGCCCAAATCCTGCCAAAAGTGGCCTCACCAATGTCCTGTACAACCACAACATAATATTTCAACTCCCATACTCAATGATCTGAGCAATGAAGGCAAGTGTATCAAATGCCTCCTTTATCACTCTGTTTACCTGTGATGCAAATTGCAATTAAGTAGGTCTCTATGTTCTACAACCCTACACAGGACCCAGTTTGCCATACCAAAATGCAATATCTCGCATTTATCCAAATTAAACTCCATCTGCCACTCCTTGGCCCATTGATCCAGTTGATCAAGATCCCTTTGAAACCTTAGATAACCTTCCTCACTATATACTATGCCACCAATTTTGGTGTCATCTGCAAACTTGATAATCATGCTCCCTATATTTGTATCCAAATAGTTTATATAAATAACAAACAACAGTGGACCCAGCACCGATCCCCACAGAACACTGCTGGTCACAGGACTGTAGTCCGAGAAACAACACTGCACCACCACCCTCTTTCAGGTCTGTTGAGCTTTTTTTTTCTGGCCTACTTGCATGCTACTTGCTTGGATTTAATACTATCACTAATTTCCCTTGTAAGCCATGGTTTGGCCACCCTTCCTGTTTTCCTTTTGCACAGAAAGGAACGGACAGTTGTTATGCTCTTTGAATGTTTGCTGTTGCCTTTCCACTGTAATCCTTTTAAGTTATAGCCCCCAATCTATCACAGCCAACTACAGCCTCATACTAGCATAGAGGACACTATCCATTATTCTATGACAAACACGATGCTGAAGAAACTCAGCGGGTTTGGCAGCATTTGTGAAGAGAGACACCAAGTTGATGTTTTGAGTCTGGTATGACTCTTGAGAAATGGAAGGTGTTTGAAAATGATTTTTCTTTAAATATTTTTGACAGATCCAGATGCCCATGAAAATGACAAGGGGATTGTTAATGCAGACCATCTTTCGTAGAACAGAATCCCTCGAGTGTGGAAACATGCCATTCAGCCCCTTGAGTCCACACTGACCCCCCCTGAAAAACATCCCATCCAGACCTACCCCATTCTTGTAACCCTACATTTCCTGTAGCTAACCCCTTAACTTCCACATCCCTGGAAACTATGGGCAATTTAGCATGGCCAATCTATCTCACCTGCACATCTTTGGACTGTGGGATGAAAATGGAGCACCTGGAGGAAATCCACATTGACACAGGGAGAATGTGCAAACTCCACACAGACAGTTGCCGAAGGCTGGAATTGAACTTGAGTCTCTAATGCTGTGAGCTAGCAGTGCTAACCACTGTGCCACCCAAATGGAGGAGAAAAATATGTTAAATGGGTGTAAATTAAGGTGTGAAAGGGAGAGAATTGGTCCTCTGTACTAAGTGCAATGTATACAAGACTTTGCTTCTTCCTGTTTTTTAAAACATAGAATACTATGTGTTTACTGCCCAATCACCTTAATATGCATGATGTGACCTTCACCCTTTTCATACAAAATATACCAAAAACTTGGTGAGAAGGTTGATTTTGAGGTGTATGGAGGGGTAAAGAGAGGCAGCCTTAAAGATTTTGCTTAGAAGCTCATCTCAGGGTCTTTGCCAACCTACGTCATCATCTGCCGTAGCCCTAAATTTGTAGCTTTCTCTAGTTTCTCACCTATCTGCTCTTGGACCTGCTGAACTGTCCTTGACTTTACTTGCACGAACATACAGCCCACATAATTTTCCTTTCAGAGTTCTATGTTATCTGGTATTGTTGATGGTTCTTTCATGAGGTACAGTGCTTTTCTTTCAAATCTGCCATATCATCCTTCTCAAAACTGTTCTGCTGTCATTTCGCAAATTCATGCTGATCCTTTCCAGAGCTTCATGTTTGGGGAAGTTGAGATTGGAGGTTCAACCATTGTACTGGCTTTTGTACTAGTCACAATATTGAAATAGATTTTTTTTGGCAAAGTCAGCAGTTTATGAAAATGTCCTTCCTATATTGGTTAACCCAGCTATAGCCTTTGACGCACAGATGACCACGCCATCCTCCTCCATCTTGATGGGGCCGTACTTGTCTGATGTCCCTGCATATTGACCCATGGTGATATTTACACAGTTATGATATTTGTATCATGTAAAAAATGACAACAGCCTCTCTGGAAGCATCCTCTGTCCAGAAGACAGCAGCTGCAAATGTTGTAGCGCAGTTGGATCCACTGATA